CCCCTGTCGCTGGGGAGAGACCAGAGGCCATGGCAGATGGGCCCCACCACCCCCTGTGCCTGGGGAGAGACCAGAGGCCATGTTAGATGGGCCCCACAACCCTCTCTCCATGGGGAGAGATCAGAGGCCAGGCTAGATGGGCACGGGTCTCCCAGTCCTCCCCGGGCCTGGCTGACACCCCCTCCGCGGTCTCCGCCCAGGGGAGAAGATGACCCTGTCCATCTTTGCCCTGCTCACCCTCACCGTCTTCCTGCTGCTGCTGGCGGACAAGGTGCCGGAGACCTCGCTGGCAGTGCCCATCATTGTCAAGTACCTCATGTTCACCATGATCCTGGTGACCTTCTCCGTCATCCTCAGCGTGGTGGTCCTCAACCTGCACCACCGCTCACCCAACACCCACGACATGCCCTTCTGGGTCAGGCAGGTAACGCGCTCCCGCCACCCCCTTCCCCTCCCCACCCCCAGCTCCCATCCGGCCCCAATGCGGAGACTGGCTGGCTCAGGGGGCCGGGGAATGGGATATGGGCCTGCCCCAGGGCTGGGGCTCATGGAGGGGTTCTGGATTCTCTCTCCTGGGCAGATTTTCATTCACCGGCTCCCACGGTACCTGGGGCTGCAGCGGCCAAAACCGGAGGCCATCCTGAAACCTCCCCCAGCCCCCAGACGGGAACTGGGGGTCAAGAGCAACCGAGGCACAGACGAGTATTTCATCCGCAAACCCACCTGTGACTTCCTCTTCCCCAAGCCCAGCAGGTCAGATGGGGGGGCGCTGTGGGGCAGGGAGCAGGGCGGAGGGCTCAGCAGGGGGTGCTCTCCCCTGGCAGGCAGGGCTGGCCCTGGGGCGGTGCTAGGGGGCGCTGTGAGGCAGGGAGCGGGGCGGGGGGCTCAGCAGGGGGCGCTCTCCCCTGGCAGGCAGGGCTGGCCCCCGGGCGGCACTAGGGGGCGCTGTGGGGCAGGGATTTTCAGCGTTTTCCTCTGTCTCTCTGAATTCCCCTCTGGCGTTTCAGCCAGATGCGAGGTTCCCCTTTCCTCCTGGCCTAAAAGGCTGTGCAGGTGTTAAGCAGCCCTCGCGCCCCACCCCAGAGGTGGCTGCATCTCAGCGCCGGGTGAGGGGTCCCCAGGTAACCAGCCGCCCCGCCCCAGAGGTGGCCACATCTCATGGGCCCCTGTGGAGGTCTTCACGGCTCTTTCCGGTTCTCCCTTCAGGTTCTCCCAGGACCCCTTCTCGCAGGACCTGCGGCGGTTCATCGACGGGCCGAGCGAATGCCTTGTTCTGCCACCCGACCTCAAATCCGCCATGGACGCCGTCACCTACATCGCCCGGCAGCTGCAGGACCAGGAGGACTATGACACGGTGAGAGGGGACCAGCCGGCTGCCCGTCACCTGTGGACTCTGGCTCCGGCCCCAGGCAATGCCCCCTCACCCCCAGTCCCCAGGATCGGCGCTTGTCTGTCTGTCCAGTGCCAAGCACAGTAGGCAGGTTTGGGAGGGTCGGTGGGGGAGGGTTGGGGGCCCCTATGGGTCAGGGTTAAGGGGGCCCAATGAGGCAGTCTTGGGGGGTTGGGGGAGGTTTATGGGGGTCAGTAGGGCAGGGTTGGGGGCCACAATGGGGTAGGGTTATGGGGCAGCCAATGGGACAGACTTCAGGCGGTGGGGAGGTTTATGGGGGTCAGTGGGGCTAGGTTAGGGGTCACTAGGTGCACCTACTCAGCAGAGTGTTAGGGGGCCGCAAGGAGCAGCCCCCCATGTCACTCCCCCTGCCCTCCATCTCCCCCCAGCTCAAGGAGGACTGGCAGTACGTGGCCATGGTCGTCGACCGTCTCTTCCTCTGGACCTTCATCACCTTCACCAGCGTCGGGACCCTCACCATCTTCCTCGATGCCAGCTACAACCTGCCCCCCGCGCATCCCTTCCCGTGACGGGGCCGCTCCGTGAATCCGGAGTCACCCCGCCGGGGATCAGCGGAGTGACTCCGGATTGACCCCCCCCCCCCCCGGCGCTGGATGGACTCAGTTCTGCCAGTGACCTCCAGAGGGCGCTGTGAGGTGGTGGTGGCTGTTTTCTGGGGCTGAATAAATCCCACAGTTTGGTTCACAGTAAAAACGGGTCATTCGGCTTCATTGAATCCGGTGTCTAGTGGGTTAGAGTTGGGGAGGGGGGCACCGCTGGGAGCCAGGACTCCTGGGTTCTCTCCGCGGCTCTGGGAGGGG